CGTACCCCGCCTTTTCTCATTGTGAGATTATATCTGAAAAATCCTATGAATCGTTGTTTTCGGCTAGATTTAAATCTTACACAGTGTAAAATTACGTTCTTCTAAATTCTTTTTATCTATGTTCTATGTCCTTGGGATATTGTTTGAAATTTGTGTTATGATTTGAATATAATAGCAATGCAGCACCGCGAGTAAACTAAGCCCATAAATTACAACGGAAAAACTATTGTCTTTTTTGAATAAACATTTTTTTATTTATTTTAAATTATTCAATTTAATTCCGTCAGAGCAGGTTTCATAGGAACGCATGGAATTAATGACTATGGGCCAATGTGCGGTTATGATGATGCACATGTCAATTTTTGTTGTTGATTTTTTAAGTATTTATTAATTTATTTCTAGGGCAGTTTGGTTAATAGAATTTTACTATAGAATATCCAATTACAAGGTAGCGAAATATACCCAATCAAAAAAATTAAATACAGTTTGACCTATTACACACAATTATGTCTTTGCCACGGAGCATACAGAGCTACAATTTAGGCAGAACAACTGAACAATTTCATTCTGAATGATTCTTTAAGCATAAAAAAAAAAATCAAAATATACACATCTTTCGGATCCGTTGATCTGTTCATATTTAATATAAAAAGGATTCCAAACAGTATTAAAGCTGACCGCACCAAGTATCATATAGTCTAGGCCTTTAATGGCATCAAAGAAAGATATTCCGTTACCCACAAGAATAATGGCGTCCCTTGGAGGCGTCTTTGCACGTAAAAGAATAATTGTTATTATTTGTATTTTGAATAGCCTCTATTTCTAAAACAAAGCGACATTCCATAAGATGCCGGATACCTTGATATTGCCAGATATATCAGGAAAGACCTCTACATAGTGACGTTTCCTATTTCAACAATGATATAATTTGAATACTTATGTTTTTGCTATTTAAGACTAAAATGAAAAAGAAAATCTCAAAAATATTATAGAATAATTATAGAATACTTCATTATTTGTTTAATACATCTTAGTTACATCTTGTTAGTGAGTTGTGCAATCGGGTCTCGTGATTAAATATTTGGCAAACTGTGAAATATTGTTGGGAGGAGCTAATTTATTAGTTTAACTAATTATAATGTTTAGAATATATGCATTAACGCATAACAAAATTTATTCCTATCTAATCGATACCAACAGCGATTGACCTCAGCAGCACTATTACTTTTCTATCTAATACAAAAAAAATGTATTGAATATTTTAAAATTGACAAGTATATCAATACGGATTGTTGGAAAATTTTGATTTTTAAATTCTTATTATTAATTGCAATTTACATGTTTTTAGCGGAATAGTACATTATGCAACAAGTGCGCTGTAAATGGCATTTCACTCACGATTTGACACAAGCGGAGCGCAGCGCAAAATAACACGAACACATTCACTGACATGACCGTCAGAATTGAAAAACGTCAAAATTCAAGGCGTGGGAAATATCTCCGAAAACATTCGAATGCTCTCAAACACGTGCGCTAAAATCCTGGAAATGTCCAAAGTGGCTCGGATCCGTGGAAAACGAAACTGACATGGAAAAGTGACGCTTCCCGCACGCTGGATCGCTGCGTAATTAGGCATTTTACAGACGGGAGTAAAAAAAATAGATAACACCACAACTTCTTAAATCACTGGAAAATATCAAGTGTAAATATTCTATTTTCTTTTGCTCTTGTTTTATATGAATAAAGAACCCTTACAGCACATGCAGAAAATATTTTCTTACAGGCATTTCGTTAAATGCTCCAAAGACAAGTAAAAAATAATCTTATAGAGGTTATTAATCAAATACCTACTAGAAAATATACTTTTTATGTGGCAGAACGGTTAAGGCTGTAATATAATACTATGTAGTGGGCAGAAACATTAAAATTTTGGAAAAAATAGTAGTCGCCAAAAGCACCGAAAAAAAAATCCTGTAAAAATTTAAACAATGACAAAAAGATTAAAAAATTTTTAATACCTTAATATCTATGGCGGACCATAGATACATCACCTTTGGGTTGGAGATGGGTGTTCGGGAACCCGTTAGATTTAGGAACCCCCGGGCAACAAACTGGGAACTCTATAGAGAGGAGCTCGCTTGGCGCCTAGGGGACTTACCAAGGAAACACCGGACAATGGAGGAGATTGACGAGGCCGCCGACCGAGTCAGCTCCGCTATGATGCGGGCGTTCTAGAATAGCTGCTCTGACAGAGGAGACAGAGGACTCCTTGGTGGAGGTCTTCCCTGTAGCGTCTCAGGAGGAAAGGGCGGAGGCTGTTCAATACAGCGAGGAGCAGCAGCCAAGGTGCGGACTGGGATCTCTATAGAAAGGTCCGCAGACAGTACAAAAAAGAACTACGGGCATCACAGAGGAGGACCTGGAGGGGTTACTGCGACGGAGAAATGAATACCCCGGACGCGCCTAGGCTCCTTAGAGTACTCAGAAGTGACCCTGCGGGAAGACTGGGAGTGGTCCGCAGGACCGGCGGTGGCTACACAGCGGGACCAGGGAACACACTACAACAGTTGCTGAACACGCACTTCCCAGGGTCCGCTGATCCGGACACAGGGGGTAATATTGAAGCCGGGGGTCGTCTTGGATGCGACTACGCCACGGCAAGGAGGGTGGTTACCCATAGTAGGCTGAGGTGGGCTATTGACAGCTTTGGCCCCTTCAAGTCGGCGGGCGGGGATGGAGTATTTCCGGCTCTGCTGCAAAGGGACCGAGGTCTCCTGACCAGCCCGCTGATGGACCTGTTCAGGGCCTCCATTGCGAGGGGGTACGTGCCCGAGCTGTGGAGACACAGCAGGGTAGTGTTCATTCCCAAGGTAGGGAAGAGTGACTACAGGTCTCCATCGGTTCATCACGGGATTGTGCACAGGGCGGGGTCTCGTCCCCGTTCCTGTGGTGCCTAGTGGTGAACGAGATATTACATATGCTGAGGGAAGAACGCGGGGTCTATGCTCAGGCATATGCAGACGACCTTGTGATAATGATCCAGGGGACGGACGTGAGGAGGATGCAGGGGCTCCTGAACAGGGCATTGGCAAGATTCTCACAATGGTGCCTGGACAGCAAGTTGACTGTCAATCCTGGCAAGGTGGCGATGGTCATCTTCATTAGAAAAAGGAAGATGGAGTGCAACCTCAACATTTCGATGGATGGGGTGCCTCTTTCTGCAAGCGGAAGTGTCAAGTACTTGGGCGTATGGATGGACTCTAAGTTGACCTTCCAGGAATATATAAGATCAAGGACCAGGACCAAGGATCGCGGGGTCATGGGCATGCCGAGTGACGTTATGATCCCCGAGATGACCTTCTTTGACAAATTGACCTTTCTCTTTCGATCAAGGGAAGATTGGAGAGAGGGCAGAGTCGGCTCCTGGGATGAACTTGTCTGGTACACGGACGGGTCCAGAATGGGAGATCTGGCCGGAGCTGGAGCGTACTGCGGGACAACGGGATCGAGCTTGTCGGTCCCTCTGGGTCAGTACTGCACTGTGTTTCAGGCGGAAATTTTCGCTTTATTGATGGTGGCCAGAGAGGTGCTTCGGCTCAACCACGGAAGCAGGAGAGTCTTCTTCTGCTCGAATAGTAGGGCTGCACTCATGGCGCAGAAGTCAGTGCGTACGTGCTCCTTGTTGATAAAGGAGTGCAAAGGGGTACTGAGGAGGGTGGCTGAGGAGAGAAAGGTCACGTTGGTCTGGGTCCCGGGTCACACCGGTATCCGGGGCAATGAGGCAGCGGACGCCTTAGCCAGAGAGGGCTCCTCGCATAGGCATATAGTTCCAGAGCCCCGCTTGGGGATCGCCCCGTGTGTGAGGCGGGGAGCTCTCGAAGTCTGGGCGAGAGACCGGGCCGCGGGGGGCTGGAGAGTTGCTCCGGGAATGAGGCAGGCGAGGCTTATGATGGATGGGCCCGCCCTTCCTCGGACCAGGGAGCTGCTTAGACTGACTAGAAGGGAGTGTAGAGCACTAACAGGGGACTACACAGGACATTGCAGGCTTAGGAGGCATCTTTGCTTGCTAGGCATTGGAGACAACCCGGAGTGTAGGTGGTGCATGGAAGGCGAGGAGACCCCGTATCATCTGCTCACCGAGTGCCCTGCCTTGACATCGGCAAGATTGGGAGTCTTGGGAACGGCCCTGATCGATCCGGACTCAGTGCACGGTATTGGGCTAAAGGAGTTGCTGACCTTCTATAGGAGGGGTGGCATTCTGGACGCCCTCTAGAGCGGCCTGGGGGCACAACGGGCCCATCTGGTGGCCTAAGTGCTTGGACGCCCGCGAGGGCGCCCCCCTTTAATACCAATACCAATACCTTAATATCTAAACACTTAAATTGGCAATGTAGGGAAGATAATGAGATTTTTTCAACAAGTGCGGCAACACTGCAAGACACTCGAAAGAAAGCTGGTGACCGTTACAGCACATGCAAAAAATATTTTCTTACAGTTATTTCGTTAAATGCGTTTAAAAAAATATATTTTTTATTTGGCGGAACGTTTAAGTCCATAATAGGATATGGTGTTTTTTTAACCTACCACGCATAAAACTAAAAAATATTATTTCAATGCTCAAGCAACATTACGATGGGTACCCTAATATCTAAACTCTTGAATTGCCAATGTAGGGTAGAAATTGAGATCTTGTCAACATGTGCGGCAACGCTGCAAGACACTCGAAACTCAGCTGGTGACACTTTTCAAAGCGGAAATAGGTATATGGAAAACTTATAACAAAAAGATCAAAGATTTTTTAATGATGACAAATTTTGTTTCTAGTTATGTATCCTATAATGCAACGCCATCTAAAGGTATATAGCAAAAGCATATCTAGAATTGAAATTGTAGAATGGATATAGAAATTGCGATAGAATAATGACGAACGGACTCGAAAAAAACAAACTCCATTTAAAAAGTAAATTCATTTTATTCTCAAAAACTAAAACGTATTCAATTAACCCTCATAATCGAATACCTAATCGATTAACACAGGACAGGCCTTAGGCAATACCGCAACAGGACGAAAATCGCTGGCAGAACTTTAAACAACGCCACTTTCGCCAAAACGTAAAAAATTACGACGGCAAGTGCGACGGAAAAGTACAACTCAATTTCGTGCTTTTTGAAGGTCTTCTTGCCCTGAGGTACAGTTTCCAGGGGATCGTTCAGTATGTACACCCTCAGACCCTTCGAGTAGCGAGAGAAATAGTTGAGCCAATTGATGGTAGTCACGTCGAATTGGAACATTTCCTTGTCCTTGAACGTCATTCTGCGTAGCATCTTGTGCGTGTTCTCCGTGTGATAGAAAAACTCATGGGTCGTAAAGTACTCGTAGGACTCTTGGAACTTGTGGAGTTTCTTGATATTCTCAACCATTCTGCGAGAGAACAACGGTCGCAGTAAATTTTGTTACGAAAAAGTCGACAGTTTGTTCAAGTTTACACTGAGCAATTAATAAAAAAAAAAAAAAAACTAAGTAGGTTTAAATGTGACACAAGATGACATGAACTAAGACAATTTGCTAAACTCACATTTGCAATAAAAACGTCAGTAATTTAAGAAACAGCTGAACAAATGTAAGATTGAAAATATGAGAATTGAATATCAAAAACATCCCAAAACTTCTATGTCTAGCAAACTAGTACAGTTCATAAGAACGTCATCAATTGCTTAATTGACTGTAATTTTTCAAACTGAGCTTATCGTATACAAAATATAAAAATGGCTATCGTTCAACACCTGTTTGTAAACAAAAAATAATCATTAAATTTGTTAAAAAATATACGTATGTCTAGTTATCCCTTTATGGTATCTATTCTTTTAACAAATCGTTTGCTATTGTTTGTGGGTGTGGATTTTAATGGTGGCCATTTCGAACACATACAAAGATGTTTTTAAGTTAGATTTAAGTTACACTCAAAATTGAGACAACTCAGTCAATTAGTTTGCAGGTTATGGACTTTTAAACAGTGGATCATTTTTTTTGGACCCTGCTCTATATAACACTTTACCATTTATATCATATCATAATATTTTAATATGACTTCTTATAGTAGGTCGTGAAATGCAAATTACTTATTAATATTATTATTATCATTATTAAATAATTTATTTAATAACTATATTACACCGTAGTTTGATATATTTAACAACTAACTATTGTGTTAACTTAAAAGTTTATCCATGAAGTAAATTTTTCCGTGTTCTCTATTTTTGTCTCGTAAAACTAATTTAAATTTCTATTAGTTTAAAAATTGTATTTCTTAGAAACAAGTAAATATTGCACTTTTTATTTTGAATTTAACAAAATGTATATAAAACGACTCACATACATGGAAACAGTGGTTCACAAAACAATTAACAAGATGGGAGGGGCGGGGTTAGAAACACATCGAATTAAAATAGAGTTTTGCACTGAACGATATAAAATGGTGCGATATGCGAAATATTTGGATGCACTGAAGGAAATTCATTATTTATGTATTCTGCAATACAATTTACTAAGAATGTTAGTGTCTGTCTTGGCGTTTATAGCATTTTCGTTCTTCTTTTTTTAATTTCAATCATTTTTTTTACTTAACTGAGAGATAAGATCAGCTACCCCGATAATCTCTAATAACGAAACTGCTTGCCCCCTTGCTTTTCGTTGCAAGACTTACATGGGAGTCTTGCCAGAAATCTTTGCGCCCATGTCGACGACGTAAGCCAATAACGTGTGGAGGAAAAATCTTACGAAGAGATAGTTATATTTGCAGGTAGTCCTAAAGTAACACGGATAGGCAGGAATGTTGGGGCTCGGCACCTGCTTGCAGTAATAGTCCACAAAATCGTAAAGCTCGTCTGAAACAAGCAAATGGTTATATGGAGAATTGGGTCTCGCCTAATTTACCTTGAGTTATGGGATTCTCGCTGCCGCTACTGATGTTGAATACAGGAACGTCCAGTCTGCTGGTCGCTTTAAACTGACTGCAATGGGTAAAATGTGATTTAAACATGAAGTTACGAATGTTAGAAAAGTTCTATCAAAATGTAGGGAGGTTATAGTCGGTCATAAATTCTGGCTTTGTTTTAACATTTTTTTTTAATTATCAAACAATTGAATTTTCAAGAACTTGGAAGAACGAACTGCGGCATTTACAACATATTTCAATAGATACTTTTCTTTTCTTCTTTTTCTTCTTCTTCTACATTATATTGTTAGGTTAGATGCCCATTCGTTCAAGCATTTTTTATTGTATTTTTAGTGATATAGATGTCAATAACCTAACACGGGCTCAGTTTGCTTTGGCATGTGATTATTTCAGATAATATTATTTCTTTTTTTGGTTCTTTATACGGTTGCTTTTTTTTGTTGGTTTTGGTACTTGGTAACTATACTTAGCGAGTTAATTGTCTTGTCATTGGAAATCATATCTGTTAGACAATAAACCTTATTATTATTATTATGACCAGGCTTAATCAACGTTTTATTCACTAACCGGAATTCTTCTAACTGTGCCGCATGTTGATAGAATTACAGCTTTTTTTGGCAAGATCTATAATTTTTTTCTAGACAGACAGTTCAGTTTGCTTCATAAATTTGGCGACTTAGACCATTCGCAGAGAAAACTATTGGTATAATTTTCACAGAATTTAATTAAGTCCGCTGCTATGGCATGGGTGTCTAGGATTATGATGCTGGAACCGAACACTTTTTCAATGTCAATAGGACAGAAAATCAAGGGTTTATTATATTCCACGACTTTCTCGACTAGTGGCCTTACTTAAATTGTAGCATCAATGCAGCATCTGCCACGTCTGAAGCCTTGTTGACCATCTTTAAGGTTTATCATTTGGTTTCATTTCTTCTGGTATCTTACAAGGGGCGAATACTTCTTCTATCAATATGATAACTTCTTCCTATATTCTATCATCTTCCCAAGGAATTTACGATTTTTTTAATTTTTTGATTTACTCTATTATTTCCGCATCTTTTAATTCCAAAGTTTCTCTCAGGTCTCCATAATGATAATGACAGATTTATCAACAGGTTGTTGTTGAAGAGTTTTATAGAACAGATCTTTTTTTTCACATTAGGCTTACAGTCTTCGTGAGGGTAAACACTTAAGACGTAGAACATTCTTTAATTTGCATTAAGGTCCTTAATTTATTATTTGACATTTTGCGCATACATCAATGTCCTTATGAGTTAACTTCAAGAGGAGCTTGGTTATTCCACGCTCTTGTAATCCACGCTACAAATATTACTATACTATTTTTGCATGATTGGTTCTTCCTTCTTTCTAAAATAATTACTATTTTAAAAATATATGGCAATATATAGTTGCATTTTTTTTTTACAAATTTCCCCAGGTAATAAGTAAATGCAAGAATAATAACAAATTAACCAAAACTAACAAAATTTTTTGAAAAATTTAACTGAGGTGGCTTTTACTTGATGAAAATCCATTTATCGAAATAATATTAAATTGTATATTTACATGACAATTGTTTCGACAACACCGTGTCTTTATCAAATGTAATATTTACAAACTACCGAAAAATGACAATAAAACCTTAATTAATGCTGTTATGAGAATTTAAGTTTAATAATGGATTTAAAGGTATTTAAAGGTATTTAAATCTAAATTTAATTTTCTACTTTTTGTAGCTGTATAGCATTATCAAAATTGTCGTCAAAAATGTGTTTTTTTCTGTTTAAGTGTGTAGCATAATTAGAATCCAGACTATTGTTTTTAAACGCTCTTTTATGTTCGTTAATGCGTTTCCTGAAGGATCTACCTGTTTGTCCAACATAAATTTTAAGACATCATCCGCATTTCAACCTTAGGCACCTGATTTTTGAGATTTTGGACACTTCGTTTCATTGTTTTTTAAAAATTTTCTTATTGTGATGTTAGTTCTGAAAGCTCTTTTTAAACCACATTTTGACAAATGTTTTGAAACGTTTTCACTGGGTTCTCCTATGTATGTAATTGTTTTAAGTTGTTCGTGTTCTATATTAGGTCTCGGATAAATAGAGTTTACTGTTGTCTGGATTTGTTTTTAATTTATAATTTTATCGATAATGGACGGATTATAGCCGTTGTTCAGTGCAATTTGTTTAATGATATTCTGTTGTTTGATATAATTTTCTGTTGAGAGTGGCGTATTAAGAAGGCTGTGTATAAAAGACTGAAATGAAGTTATTTTGTGTGTATAAGGGTAATTTGATCTGTTATGTATGACTGTGACCATGTGCGAAGATCTATGGTAACCGGAAAAATCAAATTTGTTTTGTGTTTTCGTAATAGTTAAGTCTAAAAAATTAATAGAGTTATCCTGTTCAATCTCGATAGTGAATTTTATACGATTATGTAATGAGTTAATGGAATTTAAAAATGAAATCAATTGTCTGTCCGTTCCAACAAAGCAAGCAAAGACATCATCCACGTATCTATACCACCATAGAAAACTTTACTTAATGGATATTCTTGGATATTTTCTCGGCTATCAAAGGACTAAGAGGTCTAAATCTGTCCGTCAAATTCAAAATATTTTGGTCTAAAGATACTATTAAGCAATCTAATAAATCTTGTTTCACCAATGGGTTAACCTGTTTCTGAGTGACTAAATTTACTACTACTACTAAATTTATCACATCCATAGGTGGAACACTGGGAAAGAAGTTTTGTACAGCAAAAGACAATAGTGTTGCGTTAGAAGGGATTTTGATATCTTTAATTTTGTTGATTAATTGAAAAGATTTCTTTATTGGTTTAAAACTGTGTGGAAGCTTAAAATATTTACTAATTTTGTTGAGAGGTTAACTGCTGGAGCCGTTACACAAGACACGACTGGTCTAATGGGCATATCTTTTTTATGTATTTTAACTAAAGAATATAATTTCGGCTTTTGTGGATTCATAATTGTTAATAAATACTTGTCTTTGTCACTAAATAGAGTAGAGTTAGTAATTACTTCCTTGACTTGTCTTTGATATAACTCGGTAGGATCGTGTTTGATACATTGGAAAAGTTTTGGTTTGAGAAAATTGTTGGTTTTTGAAATATATTCTAGGAGATCGATAGCTATGACCGTCTTCCCTTTATCTGCGCGTGTAAATATTGTGTTATTTTCAGAAGCTTTGTTTTTGATAGATTTTACTAGTAAAATTTGAGATATTTTTTGGTGTTTGTTGTTATCTATTAATTGAGAGTTTATTATATTCGCTAATAAATGTTTGTTTAAATTAGAATCGTTATTGTCCTTAATTGCTAATTCACAGTCGATCCCTAAACAGTCTAATTCTCTATTAATGTTCGAGTGCTGTTGTCAAATTTTGTCATAAACTATCATTTTTATTTTAAAAAATTTAATGAAATATCAAATGTCTCGACTCATTCTATGGATGAATTGCCGTGTTTCCTTTGGATTAATATTTTCGCTACCAATCATCAAACCATATTGGAATTTTACTTACTGTCCGACGTACCATCCTGCGGCTATACTTTCGCTCACCACATAATCAGCCGGAATTATGTCTGTAATGACGTTTTTGTAGTAAGTGATCCTGTTGATGCCTACAGCGTTACTCAGGACGAAACCAGCCAAAGAAAATACGTTGTCAACGAAAGCAGTCATCGGTTCGGAAGCAGTTGAAAGCACTGAGAAATCAGCCTTGTCGAATGAGCTTCGCCTGACATATTGAAAGTATCTTACCGATAGTAGGTCTCATTATGCAGACCGGCATCGATTGACATTCTCTGTTGATCAAGTCTTCCGTGATTTGCTTGGTGAAGGTGTATGTATTTGGCCAACCTTCGATCAGCCTGTAACACGAACACGTCTCGAACAGTGCTTTCCCGGTGATGTTAAGGCATGGTGAGGGTGTCTGGGGGTATTAAATACGGTCCCTTGGAAACTTGTACCCAAATTGAGGGTCAGAATTGTGATAATATTTTTAAAAGCTTACGGAAGTTTACAAATCTTAAGGTAAATATGTTTATTTTATAAGAATGTATGACGAATTGGACGTCATTTACCCAAGATGAGCAAAACATAGTAGGTGCAAAGTAAGAAAGAGACGAACAACCAGTGGCGGCGGAGATTTCTTCTTTCATCTCTTAATGAAAATGTGTCCACAAGGGTTAGCTTTCGTTTCCGGAAAAAATATTGAATTAAAGTAGAGTAAAAACATTTACAAGCGAAGGATCTATTTAATTTGAATCAGTTGTTTAGTATACTGCTTTAGGAATCTTCGCCGCCACTGATTGTTAGGTTTTTTAAGTAATTTTAAAATAGGCAAGAAAAGATTAAGGGCGAGAAATCGTTGACAATTTATGAAAAAGAAAGCAGAGGAAGAGATAACTATTCCACTCAATGAGCATAGCATACAAATTTTTTATAGGGCAAGGTATCTAAATCAACCTATACCTATATTATATATATATATATATATATATATATATATATATATATATATATATATATATATATATAGAATTCGACTAATATATCTTTTTGAAAGCAGGAAATGGGTTATGTCTGTAAAGAAAGTCTTTAGTTTACGGTAATTTGGACAGGCTGGAAAGTGAATAGGTATTTAGAGTGATTCAAAAATAGGTAGATACTTTGACAACCCTTAGATTAAGATTAGATTAACGAACAATACAAATTTTATGACATGGGTGAATAATTTGCATTCAAAATAGATAATAAACAACGCAGCGTATCACCACATGCCTATAGAAGAGAACGTCAGTAGTGCAAGCAGAAAAATTGAATTAATTGAGTGGTTGAGGGATAGAAGAGAATATAAAATCAGGTCCAGGATAAAAAATATATCGGAATTTGTTTATTCTGTAACGATTGTCTCAAAAAAATATTTTTTTTTATGTTTTATTATTGCATTACTGCAAAAGCTACAAAAAAATTGATTTGGATTTTATTGCTAACGAATGAACTACTACTGCCTAATTTGCATTCAAAATAGATAATAGACAACGCAGCGTATCACCACATGCCTATAGAAGAGAACGTCAGTAGTGCAAGCAGAAAAATTGAATTAATTGAGTGGTTGAGGGATAGAAGAGAATATAAAATCAGGTCCAGGATAAAAAATATATCGGAATTTGTTTATTCTGTAACGATTGTCTCAAAAAAATATTTTTTATTATGTTTTATTATTGCATTACTGCAAAAGCTACAAAAAATTTGTTTTGGATTTTATTGCTAACGAAAGAACTACTACTGCCTACAACAATACTTCTTTAAAAAAACAAACCTTTTTTAGTATCCTAGTGTTTTGAGGTATTATTTATATGCGTGTAAAATTAAAAAGAGGTCAATCAATCATGCATAATTAGTTTATCTTATTAACGTCTTAGTACATTCTCTTAATCGTCGCGCCATCACGCCAATCACGGTTCCACAGAAAACAATGACGTCAACTTACTCTTTACAATGTAACAATGTATCTTTAAAATTTATAGATGTTATATGTCATCAAAACACAATTAGATATTTAAAATTTACTCAACAAAATGCCCCAAGAATGTGTAAATATTTGGACGATGTAAAGCTTGGTTAGTTAATTTAAAAACAAAAAACAAATCACACTACGCTTGCACTTACTGCGGGGTTGCCAACTCTAGAATGTTGTCGTCTAAATTTTCGCAAATCGTTATAAGCCGGTCTGCCGCAATTTTCGGTTCGTAAGTCTTCTCTTGGATTTCCGATTGGTTGCAATTGGAATAACCCGTTCCCATGTAAATGAAGGTCTGAAAACGTCCAAGCACCGTAAAAAACTCCACTATGTAATTTAATTGATACGAGTCCGCTGTGGACAATCTAACACTTGAACAGCAACCTTCAATAAGTTTAAACATATCTGCAAGATATTGCTATGAATTTCTTCCTTCTCTGAATTCGCTCCGGGAGATTTTGTTCATCCATTTTCTCTACTTACGCCAAGAGAATGCATGGATAAAGAAAGTCTCCCTTTGCAAAATCTAAAATGGACACCCACAGAAAGAAGGAAAATGGAAGACGGTTAAATGGACTACTATCATATCGAATACAGAGGGTGGCCTGTAATAAATGCGCAAGCAATCCTAGATTAAACTCCAAAAATATTGAAATTGAGCCAAGTATCAAATTAAATTTATTAAATTATGAATACATCAGAAGAAATATCAGAGGCACTTACATGCCGGTATTTCTGTGGGTAGCAAAGAAATAAATTAATATCATTAATTTATCATTAATATCCTTTTAAAACCCTACACAAGGACTAAGCAAAAAGGTTCTTTTGAGAATATGAGGCTCAATACTACAATGATGGATTAAAGATGGAGAAAGTTTCTGTAAGAATTTGTAATAAAAATATATAAAATTATTTCTTCTAGTCATGATTATTTCGTTTAATACCATTTGGTAAAAGGTAATAATATTTTGGAACTAAAAATAAAGCGGAGTGTTGACAGTTTAAGGTATTGGTTTATTTTGCACTTGATGAGCTATTAGTTGTTTTCGGTGTTTTGCTTATTGCACGGACAAGAGCGAAGCAGGCACAAAATTTGTTTATAAGTCACTTGTTGCATTGTTCTTTTAAACATTATCTTTGTGGTGGTGTTTTGCGTTTTTCCAAAATATTTTAAAATTGTCTTCATTAATCATTAATATTTTTGTAAGAAATTCCTTTAATAAATAAAGTTCATGCAATAGTAGATAATTTGGACTTTTCTGCAAGGTACGTTATGTGAATGTCCTACCTTAAGTTTTGTCTATTTGTTCTCCCAGATATTTAGTAAAACTCTTGTTCAAAGGCATCGACAATATTTTTTAATAACACAGTATCGTTTGATATTATTCTCTCCCAAGGGTTTAAATAATCGCATTTATATTGATCTTAAAAAGCAGCGGGCCAAATACTGTACCTTGCGGTATCTCTATGCCTTAATAAAATACAGCGCATAAGTGGGATACAGGGTGCTAAAACTTAGTTCTCGAAATTGCTAATTACTCCATACAATCTTACCCAACTTACTCGTTAGAACCACTTCCTTCCTTTTTTTAGATTGTAATAGAATGCTGTTTTTTATTAACAAAAAAGGTGAATACATTTATTTTAATAAAACATATTGGATATTAATTCAGTCATCTCTACAAAAAATCGACTTCTAAAAATTGATCCTAAATTCAAAATTGATGAATTTAACTATCTTTTCTTGTGAGGCGTAGATACTTTTTTCTGGATATACTAACAATTTCAAGTTATTGTTTATTACGTTTTGAAATAATTTTGAAAACGTTATTAGTTGCAATAAAATATTTTACTGCAAGTATCTAAAAAAAGGAAGTATTTCACTTAGAAGTAACTAAAAACCTCCAAATCTAAGTTTTCATGATCAGTTTGATCTATGGAGAATTGAAAAAACTAAACTTTTACAGTCTCTATCGTTTTAATGAACCACCAAATAGTTGGTAACTCTCACTGAAAATGTTTATAAATATTTAAAAGGAATTCTAGACATTGGACACCTAGTTAACAGCTATAATTAAAAAAACAAATCAAAAATAAAAATATGGATTCAGCAAACGGATCTTATACATAACTATTTGCACATCCACAGCCAATTTTTTTAAAAATTATTATGACAAGACATCCTAGTTATAGATAAAAATTAAAATATCTTCTGCTTCTACGATAATTTTTTGTTTATTTGCAATAATGTTAAAAATATTTTTTGTAAACTAAAAAGATGAGATACAAGATTGTTGCACCGTATATCTCCAAATGTCTAAAAATTCACAAAAAAAACATTGAAATAAAAACGCACGATTTTCAATTTTGAAATTGGCACCAGTTTTTAGTAGCCGATTTTTTATGGAGGTGACTGTTTGAACAAAATAAATGTATTACGCTTTTTCATCTCATATATTTCAAAAATTGTTTGGAATATAGAGAAATAACAACATCCAGAACTAAACTTTAGCACCTGTCTCACTGATGAGCGACAATTTCAATATTTTTAGGATTACATTTTGGTACATTCATTATGTACCATCTTTGGGTTATCTTTCTTCTTACTTTGACTTGTTCTTGTTTGAGTGCAATTCTCCCGTTGCTGGATTTCCTGGACAGATAACTTTGATATTTCTGTTTTTTACCTTTAATATCCTGCTCGATTTCTTCCTCCCACGAATAAGGTTTATAATATCCTTTCCCAAAATTTAAGACGTTTAACACATATGTTCATACGTTAATATTAACCCAAAAATCGTTTCCTTAATTATTGGCAATCGATTGGAAAATATTCTGTATACATAAGTAAGACTTTTCAAAGGCGGAAATTAAAAAAAAAGAACTTTTCGATTTTTCGTTTAACCTATCATCGACCATCAATCACCTCTTTAACTCAAGAGGCACCTCGTACAAATAATAATGACAAGCGTTTAATATAAGTAGTCATGATAAGCCGGTTAAGGAGCATCCCGAACATGCACCGGGACAAACAGAGCGTTACACAAGGGGAATTTTTAAGGGTACACTAGGATGGGGGCAGAGCACACAGGGGCATTCTTTGGGATTGAGGTTATGTGCGGTTTTTTGCCCCTTAACCGGCCTATCATTACTACTACTATACTGTGTGCAAAAATTTCCGAACCAAGCCATACCCTCAGCTTTTTAATGTCCTTGGCCATCCGGATGATATCCCTCGTTGACCGGACGTTGATGAAGGTCGCCTGGCGGATCGCATGATCGAATCTGGTAGTAGCGGCACAGTGTATGATGGTGTCCACCTCGTCGACGAATATCTTTCTCGTCTGAGCGCTAAATCCCAGGTCCGGAAGTGCGCAGTCGCCCGTCATGATCGATACTTTTTTCAATGCATCCGGATCGGTTCTTTTGAGCAAATTAAAGGCCTACAAAAATACGTTAGCTCGATCTATACGAAAATCGATACCGATATTCATAAGGGCTTTATAAGGACAAGTTTTTATGCTTTTATAAGAAAACCATTGGTGTTATACTTGGACCAGAAATATTGCGCTTTTGCAACCGACCCCGTGATTCGCTTTGCCTACTGCAGACCCTTACCTGTAACCATTCCAGGACCATCCTAGAAATTTACGAGGTTAGCGCCAAAATTTCCCGGCCTGACATAAATGCAGCTCCAATATCACGATAAAACTTTGTCTTCTTTTAAATATATATCTTAGTAGACTGCGAAAAAAAAATTGAAGTCTTGGGTCAAATGGTTTTTTATTGAAAGCATTTTAAAAAAGACGTTTCCGAAAAAATGTCGCAAATAACGCAAATTGAGTAGAGAGCAGTCAAAGTTTTTGACAAAAGAAGTGTTAGTACCTAAAATTATTAAAGAAAGGCTGGATGGTGTGTACGGCCAAAGTTCTGCTTTGTATTCTGTAGTGAAAGAATGGGCAAAACGTTTTCGAATGGGTCAGGAGTCCCTTGAAGACGATTCAAGAACTGGTCGACCAGTGGAGGTCATAACGGAACATTTTGTTGCGATTGTGGAAGAGGTGGTATTTACCATTTGATAAAGGCACGGTGTTGTCGAAACAATTGTCATGTCAAAATATATAATTTCGTGAAAATCTGAACTTTTAGTTCTTATTTATTTTAATAATAAAGTATCAGTCGCTTAAAAAATCGTCACTATCGCTACTGTCGTCACCCAGTTCAATGATCAACTCCGTCACTAATCGTTCTCGATAAATATTTTCTTCTTTTATTACTCGTTTTTCACAGTTAGACCAGCTTTCTACTGATATTTTAGCTACCTCTTGCTGAATTACGTTTTTGGTGCAGTGTTTTGTTGTACAATCGAACCGTGAGTATAGTCTTAAAAAAGACTGTTGTTGTTTACAAATCGAAGAACTACGTAGAAGGCACAAAAATACAAGAAGTTGTTAATCGACAGGCACACAAGACAAAAATGATCTTTCTCAAACTTACCTTTAACGTAAATGAAGTATCCAGTGAAAACAGGCTCGCAGGGTCAAAGCTCGAGAATCAGGTACATACATATGTACTTACTGGTAGGATCACATTCAAATACTACCGTAATATATACGAACATATTGCAATTTACATTAAATTCTTAAGAACGATACATATCACCTGATGTTAAAATAAACGCTTCTATTTATATAATACAAATTTCAAGTATCTACAGATATTCGTTACGGTCCATCTCAGACAAGACCTACTTAAAGCCGAATAAACATCTGTTGAGATGGATTTTACGGTCCTGCGAAGGTCTGCGGTTAAGGTACTGCAAAATACTTAAAACGTCAGAACAATAAATGCAGAATATTTTTGGTCGTACAATACAAATATAAGAATACTTTTAGTTTAAAAATATTGCAACTTTGGTGTTGGTTATTTCAGTTTTTTTAAAGGTTTTATGGCGTTGTCAAAACCTTTATTATAAAACTTCATCTTCAACTCTTATAAATACTAAAACTTAATACATTTTCTACAGCTAGGGGATACCAGGGTACCAGGTTAGAACGGAATTAATTTCCCACTTCACATAGTGTATTTATTGCTTTGAGTTTTTAAGTATTTTACAGTACCATAATTGCAGACCTTCGCAGGACCGTGGTAAAACCCCCGTGTATTTTAACCTCAGGTGATATGTATTGTTCTTAAGAGTTTAATCTAAATTTTTGACTATTTGACTGTGATCCTTCCAGTAAGTACGTATTTAGAACGTGGAATGGAGCAGATGTTCACCTGGGAGAAGGAGACATAGAAAACAACGCAGAATTTGAAGACGAAGTGGAGATTGTAGTCGAACCTAATGACAATTTAGAAGACAAACTTGTAGGTAGATAAATTCCTAGAATGATCCTGTAATGTTACGGGTAAGGGACTGCTCGGCAGGGTGTTCTATATATTCCTTTAAAAAATTTTATTGTTTTTTACACAGATTTTCTTTCCCCCGTTTTATGTATTTAGATTTTTTCCCAACCTAAAACTGATGCGGGTTTTGTCCAGTGTGTTTTTTTTTACGCTTATATTATTTTTGCGTTAAATTGTAGGAGAAACCAAAAAAACTTAAGATACTGTCCGGTTCTCCTTTCTAATGGCGGAACGACCCCATAAAATAAGAAATGGTGTTAAGGTATTTAGGAAAAACAAATTATTAACCGTTATATACGGTTGCAACCGCAAGAAAAAATGCATTTTTTGAGATAATCAGCCACGGGGTAACACCACTCTAAAATTAAAACATTCATTTTATTTAAGTACGCCACTCGATAAGAAATAATAGAAATTGGCATGCCTTGAGAAGTACCCTGTTGTATCTTCAATCTCAATCCAGTTAAAGTAGATCGATTCCGACATTAAACAAAAACATTCGAAACGAGATCCGGACTGCTATCTCATTTTTTATAACATCAACGAAGAAAAAAAACCATTGTATTGTATTTCCTTGTATTTTTTCTCCAATATTTTTATCCCTTTGTTTGGCCCTCTCGCGAACAATCCGCAATTTCTCACCGTCCCCGAAAAAAAAACCTTTCCCGACGCTTCATCTCCGCCGGTCTTCAAACCTCGACCTCCTCCCGATCTCTTACTTCTGCCTCACGTCTACCAACTTGATGTCCCTAACCTGAAGGTCGTGTTTGCTCTTCGCGGCAAACTTGATCGGAGTAATAAAAAGTAGGCAAAGTTAATGACGGAGTCGGTTGTAAAAGCACTATAATTCTGGTCCAAGTATACCATCCTCGGCAATTGCTTACTAAAGCAAAGTTTACAGAATCAAAATATAAGTTGCCGCACTCTCTGTCGGACCTTTGATGTGCGTTTGATCTGTATGATATACAGTGAAACCTCCCTATAGCAAAACTCCGTATAAAGTAAAACTCTGTATTACGAACAAAATTTTTTGTACTATTAGATCTCCATACAAAGCTATGTATTAATCCACTTTATATAACAAATGTCACACTCTTTATACCGAAAGAAAAAAGGGCACATCAGGTAACAAAGTAAGGAATGTAGGCCGAAAGTTCCTTTAATTCGGGAGATAAAACGAGGAGAAAAGAAAAGTGATGTGTGACTGTATCCACGATTTGGAAATACAAAGAAAAAATCATGCAGGCGGAAGCGGCAGGCAGTTCTAGTAAAGAAATAAGAAACCCAAAATTTGAAGATTTGGATCGGGCAATGTACTTCCAACAGCAACGTCTTAAAAATGTACCACTCTCTGGGCCTATCTTAAAACTAAAAGCAGAAAAGTTTGCTGAACAGCTTGACATTATCAATTTCAAGACTTCGGAAGGATGGTTGGGGAAGTTCAAACAGAGGCATGGTATAAATTATGAACAGATAAGTGGCGAAGCCCGTGATGTCGACACAAACGTCATTAACGATTAACTGGAGAAGGCGTGGCCAAAACTAGTAGAAAAGTACCCTCCTGACGACATTTTTGATGCTGACGAAACTGGTATTGTTTTCAAATTGACGCCAGATAAAACTGTTATATTTCGAAGCGATATGAGTGGGAGAGAAAAAACAAAGCTAGTCGTGATGCTGTAAACTCCGGAATTTTCTCTTTGATAGATCGAAGATGTTAAGAGCTTTTGGGACAGGTAGTTATACGTTCTATTCCTAAAAAAACTTTTGTGTGGCGTTACTTTCAAACTCATTGTCTTTGGAAGGTTGTGGCGAAGTGTATTTGGCGATGGAACGCCTTATATATCTCTAATATGAAAACTATTAGAGATAATAGCAAAAACAACAATCTACCTCAATGTTCGTGGATGCCTGACGCTCTTAGTGCACCGATGAAAACACCAAGTAGCTCCAGTTTTCCGACGCTTTCCCCAGAAATTATTACGCCAATACCACCGTTAAAGGAGTGCAAAGGAAAGGAGATAAAACTGCAATTCTCACAGCGTCATCTTATTAAGGAGGGAGAATAATAAGAACAAATTATATCAAGAAAACATAAAAAACAGAGTTAAACAGCAGCTACCTGAAACAGAAAAAAGAATGGAGGAGATGCTAAGGCCAAAGCAGTAAGAGGCAGAAATTTAAGAGTATCCCCACACACTTCTTCCTTTTAGGGCGATGTCACAACATAAAATTTTTATAAAAATTGAACTGAGGTGGCCTTAACTTGATGAAAATCCATTTAACAAAATAAATAAGAACTAAAAGTTAGATTTTCACGAAATTACATATATTCACATGCTGTCGAAACAATTTTCGTGTGAATATATATATATATATATATATATATATATATATATATATATATATATATATATATATATATATATATATATATATATATATATATATATATATATATATATATATATATATATATATATATATATATATATAATTTCGTGAAAATCTGAACTTTCAGTTCTTATTTATTTTGAAATGTTTATAATGTCTTTACCGCCCAGAAATAAATATAGTTGAATTACCCCATGTCACCCCGGCGTCTCCTACTATGAAATGTAAAGAATGTTATAAAATTTATGCTCCAGTAACAAACAGTTTTATGTAGAAAGAAGCCCCTATGTTTTTGAGATACGATTTCTTAAAGACATTGAAGCTAAGAAAAATTGACATAAAATTAAACATAGTATAAACTTTTATAGAACGCTTGCCAATGTCCTGAAACTGAAAGTGAGGTTATGATTGTAATATTGACATTTGTGCACCAATAGTGTTCATTCGGTTTCTTAATTATTTTTAGCTTTATTCTCGTTACGAAGGATTTTGTAAATACCTTTTTGGTAACATATAAAACTCTAAGTATTCCAATCTGAGCAATATTCCTGGAACTTGCAGACATATTTCGTTCGTTGCAAAACGAATTTCCTGATCACAATTTTAATTTTAAGATTTTTACCAAAATTCCGTTTTAAAGTGAGAAAAACAAGGGCGCTTACTTTAAGGAATCGTAAAATATTCGACAAACTCTTCGTCACAAATAAAATTAAGCCGTGGAAAATTTTCAGAGTTTTCGAATTGTTCCTTAAGAATGTCAAAATAATTTTCCATTACTGAAGTGAAGTGAAATGGGGGCGTTTTTTGATTAGTGTTATAAACACTTTACAAGGCTAACGACAATGTATTGATTATCTTTGTAACAATAGGGTTTATACCCAGGCAACCAGAAAACGTTTATTATGAAGTTATGTCAAAAGTGTCACCATGACATTTATTTTGTAGCGTGCTTCTCAAGTGATTATTACGAGAATTGACATTGATCACGTGCACTTGACGTCATAATATCCACGTGAACAAAACGCATTAGGAGAGAAATTTTGTAGGAGCGTTTTATTGATAAGTGCCTTTGCACTTCTTATCCGAATAGCTATGAAAAAGGTACTTTCTTAGAATCTAAACTAACCAATATAAACCATAATTTAAAAATGGTATTTTCATAGATCCTAAACTAACCAGTATTAACCACAATTAAAAAAAGGTATTTCCTTAAAACCTAAACTAACCGAGTGTATTGTATCTATGTATCTATGTTTGTGTTATACATTACAAAAATAAAGGATATTACAACAATGAAAGTGAAATTAGACTTATATACATTGGCAAAAAATAAATTATATTATATTATTTTGCATAGGTACTCAAAATTTCGTAATTTTCTGTTGGTTGTTTTGGTAACTCAAATTACGGAACAAAAAAGTCACAAAAAACGTGTGATGATGGTTGCCTGGATTATATTCTCCATTAAAGTGCTAAAGGGGTTTTATAAGAACAATTGATGATTATTATAGAATATTTAAAAAAAAAACCGTTGCCGTTATAAAACAAAAAAATTTAGTCGGAATACCTACGGGAGAAGCAAAAATTTCTTCGCAGCGTTGGTCCGGCTTCTGGTTCTTTTTGGTGCGCACCAAGATGAACACTTTTTTCACCGGCAGGCATCTCAGAATCTTTTCGAGGATGAGTTTTCCGATGAATCCAGTCGCGCCCGTGAGAAAAATCGTAGAGCCACGGTAGAAACGTTGGATCTCGGTCAGCTCGGCAAAGTTGTCCATTTCTTCGTAGGCTGTGCTGGAGGAAACTCTGACGGATTAACTGACACCACGATGATTTTCGGCCCGCTTTGCATCACGATTGCGTATTGTTTACGCGCATAATTTTCAATGGGACGGCCGTATTGACTTTTGACTTTTCCGTATGTATAAATAATCGGCATATTTATGGGTAATGGAAGTTGGCCCGTCACAATGTCCGACAGTTTTCGGAAAATCTATAATCGCTTTTAATGAGTTCCGCGTCGGGGGCCTTTAGCCAATTTGTTTAAATTAAAATTAATTTTCTATCTAAATGCCCGCAATCGTATACAATAAAATATCCAAAAACTAACCAAGGAAAAACTCGGCGTGTTCCGTTTTACCCCAAAACCCGATAACTTTGGGCTCGCATATACCGGGCTTTAAGTTTCTTGAGTTTACTTACGCTGCTTTTCGACTGAGTTAGATTCGTTTTTAACGAAAAAATAACTCGGACCATGCATTTAATAAATAAGTAACAAGCATTAAAAGTTCGGCTAGTTGCCTTTTTTACTAAAAATCGTATAATATCTAATTGTTACTTTGGTTTTACTGATAACAAGTCAACTAATGATGCCATTGCTATGCTAGTGTCAAATATTTATATATATATATATATATATATATATATATATATATATATATATATATATATATATATATATATATATATATATATATATATATATATATATATATATATATATATATATATATATATATATATATATATATATATATATATATATATATATATATATATATATATATATATATATATATATATATAGATGCTTAGATAATTCGAATCCATGTGCTGCAATGTTCAGTGACTTAGCACAAGCATTCGATACTGTAAGCCACTCGCGGCCTTTGACTAAACTACATTTAGCTGGAATAGGAGGTTCTGCCCATTTACTAAGTGAAAGTTACCTGAAAAATCGACAACAACTGTTTCAGTAAGCCGAGAACTGTAACCTATGGAATTGCACAGGGTACAGAAATCAACTACTACTATTGTTGTTTCCGGTAAAATCATCTCTTTGGATGATGATACAGTTTTGTTTGTTGAAGGTACCGCATTAGTTCGGACGGGCAACTTATGTCACAGTGGCTTGACAATAATTTACTAACAATCAACTTAGATAGAACACAATACTTGCCCGTTTCAAAATTTGCCACTAAGATATATAAAATATACATGAACATCAATGAGGTCTATCCCTAGACACTATAATGTCCACCCCAGCCCTACATTTTGGGTTAATAGTTTCGATTTATTATTTTCATGTTTATCATGTTTTTCTTCAAAAATTTTAAATTTTTAATTTTTCGATCATATATACTATAAAACTATTGTTTAGAAACAATTGCTGGTCTTTACGAACTGAGCATGTTACCTACCTAGGAATTCATGTTGACTCAAATCTAAAGTGGAACTTCCATATCGAATAGTGAAAAAGTTACGATCCTTAATGTATTTAATAAAAAATAGCTCACTGGTTAATTCAAAAACTCACTTGGAGAAAATTTAACTTTACAAAAAATGCATTTATCTGTTGGTAAAAAAAAATACTTTTATACCGGTCAATCAATTTATAATGCACTACCTCTAGAACTGAAAAATAAAATAAAATTAAAATCATTAAAAAAAATTAACTAAGTGGCTTATTGATGCTAAATTGTAACTTGAGTTTCTAAGTGGATATTTATTGTAAGTCAAATTCGCAGATTCATTAATGTATTGTAACTATATAAAATCGTTTCTTTTTTTTTTGATAGAATATGTTTTTTTTCCATATTATGTTATGGATGGGAAACATAGTTAAATTAAGCTGCGATATATTCAAGGATGGCTGTCAAGTTTTTAACTTAGTATACCTTGAATATAAGTGTTTTTTTTGTATTAATATTTATTTAATGTTTTCATTACAAGTTGTTAAATTGTATATTTTTATTGATTTAAATAAATATCATTATTATTATTATTATTATTATTATTATTATTATTATTAATATTATTATTATTATTCTTTAATTCACGCAGGTAAGTACGGGTCAAGATTCCAATGTCGGTGAAGTGTTGTCACAAAACACTGGAGTTTTGCGTCTAAGGTTCTATGATGATTTTTTGGTTTAACACCTTTCGCATTATGTTACAGGTTGATAGGATGACTGCTTTCTGGAGTTGCGGAGAAAGGGCTTTCTGCAGTCCGACGTCGGCTTCCAGATTCCGTTGGAATTTCGCCCGTCGCTCCAATTATAATGGGCATAGTCTTGATCGTCCTTGCACCCCAGGTCTGCTTCATGTCCTCAGCTAGCGACATGTATTTGTCAACTTTCTCCTGCTGTTTCTTGTCAATGTTAGGGGGGGAAGGTACGGAAATGTCCACCAAAGTAATATTTCGTTGGTCTTTGTCATACATCATGACGTCTGGTCTGTTGTGTTGTACCGGTCTATCTGTTTGTATTTGTCTGTCCCAGTAGACACTGTAATGCATATCTTCTACTATTGTTTGCAGCATGTACTGATTATATGGCGTTTTATCTTTTATAAAGCCGAGTTTGTGGCAAATCTCATTGTGTATTATTTTTGCAACGTTGTTGTGCCTTGTCGTATACTCGCGCGGTGCTATCATTTTGCATCCACTAAGAAGGTGTTCTATGTTTTCGTGACCCTCGCCACACATATTATTATTATTATTATTATTATTATTATTATTATTATTATTATTATTATCATTTGCTCCTTGTCTACACCGCGAATATTGAAGAGCATTTTAAGGTTGTCGAGCGATTCCTTTCGTCTCCCCGGTATCCCGGATCGATAGTACAGAGAGGCGAATTTTAACTACAAAAAACAAATGAAAGAAACTAAATCAAAGGCCTATTCCAGCTTTATATCGAAATCTACCAACATGAGCAAAAGTTGTTGGGCCTTAATCAATCATGAAACCAATCGATCATCCAGGGTCACGCCCAATGAGTTCAACCTCTTCTTCTCCAATGTGGTCGAGGATCTAATCTCCACTATTAGAAAAACCAATGATCCCTATGCGTATCTAAGGAAGTTCTCTACCAGTAAATCTTTCTTTCTGAGTCCGGTTCATAACACTATCATAAGGCAAATTCTACTGACTGCTTCGGCATAAATTCATAAATACTGAAACACACCGTAGAGCACATTGTGGGCCCTCTGACGGCTTTCACTAATGCAGTATTCTCAAGTGGCGAATTTCCATCTCAGCTGAAACTATCTAAAATAATTCCTGTTTACAAAAAAGGAGACAAGCACATTCCAAATGACTTTGGGCCCATTGCAATCATCCCTATTTTTGGTAAAGTGATCGAGAAAGCCTTAAAAACCCGTCTTTCCCGATTTTTCGAAAACCACAAACTTCTGAGCGACTCTCAGTTCAGGTTTCGTGAAAAGAAATCCACAACCCATACGCTCATAGACTTTGTAAGCAGGGTGATCCGGGGATATGATGATGGTGAGATTTCGTTGACCATACAAAGGCTTTTGACTATGTTGACTACGTCGTACTATTGAATAAATTAGAGTTTCACGGCCCTCTACAATTAATAGAGTCAAATCTAGACAGCAGGTTTCAGTATGTTGAGACTAGCGGCGTGTCAAGTGATACCGTTCTTTCAGTAGTTTCCGGCTAGGAATCACAGAATGCTTACAGAAAACGTTTATGAGACTGTGAGGGTCCTTCAGCGGTGGTTCTCTGCAAACAACCTAGTCCGTAACCAACAAAAAACTCAAGAACTTACGTTCTCTTGTAGCAAAGTACACTTTCATCATCAAGACAATATTACTCTCTCATGGACCGGCCAGATCGACGAAGTCTGCGCCACACTGTAATGGCGTTTGTTCCTGTTAAGACATCTCAGCCACTGTCTAATAAGGTTGGCCCTGAAACAGCCTACTTCGATCTGCTGCACAGTGTGTTGTCTTACGGTGTTGGGTTGTGGGGTGAGGTAAGATACTCGGAAAAAGCCTTTCGTTTGCAAAAGAAGGCCATGCGGCTACTTAGCGGCGTTGGTCCGCGTAAACACTGCAGACCCATGTTCGCAGATTTGGAGATTATGACGCTGCTCTCTACCTACATCTACAGATCTGTTTTATACGTTGATGACAATGTTGATTCTTATCACGCACTAACTAGTACACATGAATGAATACCAAGCAAGCTGACTGGATCGCCCTACCGTACTCCAGACTGACGTCCTCGCAAACTAATGAGATCAATGTTAAATTATACAATGTCCTCCCAAGCAGCTTTAAAAATCTACCAACCAGACAATTTAAGCAGAAAATGAAAATTTTCTTTATAGAGAATCCCTATTATAATATGCCTAACTTTCTGACACCAAAATTTTACTTGACCCGCAATTTACACACAAAAGAAAAAAAAAATTAATCAAACGAAACCTATATCTCTAATCTTACTAATTATTCACCCAAAAGGTGTTACTATAAAGATATTGGTCTGGAAGAGGGCATAATTTTAGAACCGTACGCACAAAATTTCCTCTCGCAGTCTTCACCGTAGCGTTTCTAACAACTCCGTCTTTTCCCGGATGAAGGTTTGTAGCCACTGCCAACGGCCATTTTAAAAAGAAAACTTCGTGTGAACATATGCCTAACGTCTTTTTGAGAGACAGAGTAGTAAAGATTTCAGAAATAAAATATAATTTTAATCAAATACGGTTTTCGCTTAGAAAAATAAAAACCTATGCATGGTCATAATAATATCATGAATATTACGGCTTTTTATTATTTGCAGATTTAGGTCAAAGTCAAAACATACTTTAACTAAAGTTATCAACTGATTTAAAAAGTTAAATACCCATTCGCATCGCTTTAACAACTTAAATCTACCATCTACTGAAGCAACATCTTGAATATCCGCGTGGTACTACAGAAGATTGCGTGGAAGAGATCTAATATCCCAGACTTATTTCAAATTTGAGCGTGTTGCTGTCGGACTCGTCGCGTAAAAACTACCGGAATCTAGCTGACAATCTTACAAATATCTAGAAATCCTAACGAGATATAGATTTTGAAACTTAAAGCGCCATCTGTCGGAGATCCTCTAAACCCCGATTTTTTAAAGTTTGCATGTCACTACATAGATGTCGCCAGGTCCGAGATCCGACAGTTGAGTCGAACTTGCTAACGTTTTGCCAATCATCCTGTTGACTTCTCCAGAGCTTACTGCTTTTACATTGTTTGAGGGGGCCATAAACATCATTAAAGATATTAAGCGTTCCATCACAAAATACACTTCACCCTTCCAATAGCAATGAGTCCGAAAGCAATCCCACACTTGCTACTGTTGCCCTTCCTTACATTGAAAACATCACAGATCACATATCAAAAGTTCTTAAGAAACATAACGTCAAAACCAAATTTATCACTTGTCCAAAAATCTCTCAACGTCTTCGATCCGTCAAAGACCAAACTCCAAAAATTATCAACTAGGCTCAAAAGACATAAAATAGTCTTAAGACTAAGACAAATAAACTCATCAGCAGTTGCCGAACACAATGACGAAATCGGACATAAAATTTTAATCGATAAAACTATAAAATTCTTGCATGTAATCAATTCTTCTACCAACGAAACATCTGAGAATCTATAGAAATCTATAAGCAACCTAAAAATCTTAATCTAACATTTAAGCCTAATTCGTGAATTCTCCTATGGTGGCCCTGCTAAGTGTAAACTCGTGTCTGCTAAGTTTACTTGTTTAAATTTGTTCTTTTCCCTAATTAGTGGAATAGATGAACTGGATTGGAGAATTACGACACCTCTTAGCAAATTCCCGAAAAAGAGACCGTGGATTATCTACACCAGCGTTTTTCGTATATGTAAAAAAAAATTATCAACAATGAAAGACCTAGGCACACAAAACATTTTTTTAAAAACAATTATGTTAAAGCAGTTGACAATCAAATTGGCTTTGGTTTCTCGTCTATGTTAGAGACCACGTTTTGTTTACTTTCTCTTTCTCCCCTTATTTTTTTGATCGCCTCGGGTGGCATTGGAAACATCTTTTCGCTCCTCAACACCGGCGAAAAATCCAAGTTTACGATCTAGAACGTGATAACATTTATCTAACGCTTAGCAACCGACCAACATTTCTCTATGGTGCGCACTTACTTGGGGAAGTACCGAAACCACATAGCTTCGATATCTGGGATGGTTGGATATAGGATTGCCTTGGAATGTCACGGTTTTGAGATGCTTTAACGATTTGAGTTTGAAAATTTCGTCAAAATTATCGATGCAGTTGCCGTGGAAGTACAGTATTTTTAGGTTTGGAAATTTTAAGACACTCTACAACACACCAAATAAAAAAAAGATATGCGGGATGGAAGCAGGTACCTCATCAATTTCAGTTATGTAGTTGAATGAGAAATCTGCCCAAGCCAGTTCAATGGGGTGCTCTAGCACTGCTTCCACGAGCTCATCTAAGTTTTTAGTGCTCTTCAGCTTGTTATTGTTTAGCCACAGGGATTTTGTTAAGAATTTCTTCTCGGGACCGCGGTCAGGAACGCCCCCAACTCTCGTATATCTTGCCCCTTCTAGGCCTATTACTGAAATTACCAGTGTAACTTAATTGTTTCTTTAAAACTTAATCTATCGACGCACTAAAATTTTACCTTCCAGAAATTTAGGAACATCGATAGTTTTCAACCGCCTAAATGAGAAATCGGCTGGTTTTCCGCTCGAAAGAGGCTCCTTCACAGACATTGTGGTCATTAATTGTGACAGCGAAGTTGATAATTTTTGATAAAATAATCGAAAGGAGCACAATAATATTTTTCACTATTTGGGTTACTTGTATTCTTAATTGGAAAAGAGAAATTCAATCGATAATAGCTAAATTTCTTAGAATCGCCGTAAATTAGGAATTCAAATCTAGATAATAGCGTCCTCTATTGACGTGAAATCGAATCTTTCAAATTTAATCAGATTTCGAACTTTGCTTATTTAAGGTTATGTTTAAAAATATGTAAACAAAATGTTGGGAATATTCTTAGAGCTCTTAGTACGTTGATTTGAAACATGTTTTAGTAATTTTTTAGCGTTTCATTTGCAGGAAAATAATTGCCTGGGCAAACTAGAACGCTTGAGTGGGTTGGGCTACATAGCCCAATTAAATTTGAGTTTGTTGTCCTCAGAAGAATTCGATGGGGCTGCCCGCGTAGTTTTTCATCTTTTGGACGAATCCTATCGTTCAAATGTGTGCGACCATCTGCGTAAATTACATAAACGTGGCCATTTTGGCATGGAAAATTATATTTTCCGAATTCATGATGTTTGGCTTCTTGAACTGCTTATTTTAGCTTCTCTAAAACACTCGAGGGGATTATTTAAATCAAACGACAAGGAGTGGGCCGTCGACAAGGTCAGGGAGTTAGTCTTGTATATTATTTCGAAGGTTTCAATAAAGAGGCCTGAATCATTGCGCATTTTAATGGTCTTGGAGACAATTCTTAGAAAGCGTAAAGATGTTGCTGATCGTCATTGTTCTTTAGTGATAATGAAATTTGCGCATTTCTTAGCTGTCTCCCCAATAGACCATTTTAAGCAATATTCTCATACTTTTTCAAAACTTATTTTAAAAAACAATCATTTTGTAATTGATCTGGACATTCTACCCATTAGAAGTATAGACACTGCAGATATTTTGCCCTATATGGATATTAAAAGTACCAACTTGAGAATAATTGCAAATAAAGTGATAAAAATGTTTTCTAACAATGTTGAAAGCAGAGATGGTGGTTTTTTATATAGATTGTTAGTGCTTGGTGATTTTGAACAGTGGAAGTCTAGTGTGTGGCCCTTATTTTATCCAGTACTGAATCACCTGCGTTTTCAAGGGTAAGAGGTGCTATTTCTCGCTTTATTATTGTAGCAATCGATTTATTTTTAGAGAGCTTTATGAGAGTCTTGTGAAATTTTTTATTCCTATTAATACTACAGCTTATAAATCAAATTTCTTCAAATTTATATCATCCCAAGAAGTTGGTGGGTATCTAAAAGCTATTGTATTGCTTGAAACACGAAGAAAGGGATTTTATATAGAAGAATTTGATGAAAGTTTGCTTCATATGACTAATTCTGATGTCTCAGTAAAAATTGTAAGTACTTACCATAAGAAAACTATGCTTCCAAGGCCGGTGGAACTACAGGTAGTTAAGAACTACCTAGAACTGAGTCCATCCCCTAGTTTAGATGTTAAATCAGTCTCCAGATTTTTATCCCAAATTTTTTTGGTGAGTCACCGACTTCTGTTGGATAATAATGATAATGACAGTCTCCAACTGATCGATTGTTATAAGAAATTTTTGGATGATATATTCACTTTTTGCTTGAGTGTATTAAATACGAGCCTGTGCGACGTTGGGGCCCAGTTGTTGATGATTATTTGGGGAATAGCTGCTGGATCATCAGACGCGTTAAGCTTAGGGTATAAATTAGATGAAACGTTTTTTTATCCAGCTACAGGAAATAAGTTATTTCAATCTATTAAAGGTTGGACAATGTATTGCGAGAGAGTGAGGCTTTCTGTGAAGTCTTCTTTGAAAGAACGACCCAACTGCCATTTGGGTAAATTGATTGCCAACAGATGTTATGGCATTGAAATAGATGCTTATAACATTGAGTTCTTATTTACTTTTATAAAAAACGTGGAAAATCCATCAATTGAAAGTGCTGATATCTTAAGAAGTTACGCTCACATTGTTTCGAGAAATTATTCTTGTAGCAGTGCTGAAACGATCAATTCGCTGACACAAAAAGTTCGAGAAAATTTTGCTAAACCATACAGTGATACCGTCGTTTTTGAAATCGTGCTGCTGTTCGAAGTATTGTCTGAAGTATCCGGGCATGATTTGACAAACGCATGCCTTTCGTACAGTATTTGGGAAGATTCTTTGGTCAGAATATGCGAAAACCTCGAGGTAAGTGAGGGCTAAAAGTTAATTTTTTGTTGTTTGGGAAAATAAATTTTAAGCGTCCCGCCTCGGCCTCGCACGATGTGATCGTTTCACACAAATCGCAAAAAATCAAAGAAGCGCTTATCAATGTGAGTATGTAGACTATGCCTCGCCCGGCGCATCCACCAGCTATTTATTTTTTAAGGTAATCTTGCAGTTTATGTTGCGTGTTAGGTACTTTCCCCAATTCTGCAACAAGGAAAAGATTTTTAGGTGCTTGTGTGCGATAATCGAGACTAGTAATATGAAAAGACCGACGGTTTTATCGGCGGAGCTCATTAATGCGTTGGCCAGCAGCATGGACGGAACTGAAACCGATAAAAATTTGAAAATTACATTTTTAGATCGCGCCTTGCGAAATATCGCGCAGGCGCGCTCGACGCAGATCCTGTCGATTAGAAAAAATCCCGCAGCTCGATTGCCCGTGCACGCCCTGTGTGTGTCCGACCGACGTCCTGGAAAAGTAGGTTATAATAATAACAAAAATAAATGGTTCTGTATTGGTGTAAAACATAAATACATCATTACAAAACAAAATAGAGAAATACAGAATTAAAAAATAAAGAAAAAACTAGATAAAAAAAACAAATAAACGAGAAATTGACCTAAGGCGAAGTTTAGCCTCTTTATCAAGGTGCTAAAGCACTTACATTTAACATGAAAAAACCTATAAAAAGTAACTATAAGGTAAACTTACAACTAAATAACATAAGAAAAACAACTTTCTATTGAGGAAAAACATGGTAAAATTTATAATTTAATGGGAAAAATCAGTGGTCGGTGTCAATTTTAAAAGAATTTCTGAAATAGAGCAGAGTTTTGTTTTGGAATTTTGTATGTTATATGGAAACAAGTGCTGCTAGATTTATTACAGAAAAACAAATTATCTACACAATATCATAGAGAATAACGGGACCACTTTTATACTCTGATAACTGTGTACGCCTAATAATATAATAAAAGCTCCCCCTGTATTCCAAATTTAAGCAAAATATCTCAAAAACCAATGGTATATAAATTTTTATTCTCCAATTAACATTAATTTCTCACTAATTTATCATTAAATTAAGAAAACATCCAGCCAGAGACAATTTTCAAAATCGTTTTACAATTTAACGTCAATTTTTTTTTTCGCACAGCCTCTACTTTCGTGGACGGTAAACCAGCTGCTGGACATACTATCCGATCCGAATTCCTCCCACTCATCGATAGCTTCGGCCCTTTACTGCGCAGAGGTTTTGATTTCTGACAACACCATGTATAATTCGACGTTGCCGCATATCCCCGACTTTATTTCGCATTGCGTTCACCTCTTTCTGAAGCCCAGCTGGACCGTTAGGTAACCGTCGCGATTTAAAATCGAATTCTTCGAATCGGGCGCCACTTTCAGGAACGCCGACTTGCAACTGACCAAAGCGCTGATCGACAGGTTCTATGGTGTAGTGATCGGTTCGAGTTTGAGACCGAAAACAATCGAACATCTCTTGTTACTATTTCCGCAGTTGGCGTCGCGTTTCTGTAACGTTTTGAGCGGTAGTTTGACGGATAGCTGCCTTATAGTGATGGAGTTTATTTCCGAAGCTCATATTCGAAAGCCGCTATTCGAGAACTCATTTTTCGAATTAACTAGAGGGTTCCTATTGCGTGCGTTGTTTACGATTATCGAGACGAATTCGCACGATTACGGATTAATGGCTGTCAAAGCGTACGCCGCCCTCTGTCGGGAAGACGACGTACCTTCGGTTTTCTGCGGCACCGTCGAGTATTTAATAGAAAATTTGCTTTTAATCAGGAGCCAAAGAACGCTGAGGAATTTTTTGTATCTTTTGCAAGGACTGTACGAGAAATCGCGCCACAAGAAACGAATGAACTCGCGCTACAGGAAGCTGACAGTAGTAGCTCGAGACCACTTGGATTCTCGTTACGTTTCTTTTCTCTCGTTCAAATCCAGCACTCTTGATGAAATTGAGACTTCTGTGGACAGAATTGACAGTTCGAAGTACGACAGTCGAATTTGGCAGAACAACTATTTGCCGTATTGGTTGAACAACGCCGAAGATGAAATGCTAGGTTATGTTTTGCAAAAAATGTTGCGCTCTCGCGTATCGGATTGCGTGCAATCGAAATTGTTAAGCGTGTTGGTCGCCAAGTACAGTAAAAGTTGTATAAACGATCAAGTCTGGCGCTACGTAGCGTCCGCTTTGGTTTCCAAAGTGGTTGAGGTCGATGACAGTAACATTTATTTACTTTTATGTTATCTGAAAGTCGTATTGTTGCTCAAAGCATACGTTACGGAAATTTCCGACGATTTATTAAATAATATAAGGTTTAGCTACGAGAGTGTGAATCATCATTACAAAAGTTTTGTATACGTCATCGCTCTGGCGAGTAGGCGTGGTCTTAGCATCTCAGATCAGCGTTTTATAAAATTGTCGATCAAGCGCTTGAAGAACCTGAACTTCGACGACGAAGAAGTGTCGGAATTAACGTCGGAAATATTGCCCAGCTTATACAAATGCACTTGGTGCAGTTGCACGCGACTCGAAGTCCACAAAATGGCGTTACTTTTATTGCTGCGCCACGGACTGACCGACTTTATAGACTTCACGTCAGGGTCGAAACAGCGCAGCGCCGTGGAGGCTGCGGCCACTCTTCTGAGCTGCAAAAATTTGCTAAAATGTTTGGGCTGCCGATTTGAGGTGCTCAAGTTTACCGAATTCGTTTGGAATTATACGTCACTACCTAATAGTGGGAGGAGTCGGAAGAGTAACAGTTACTTTACGAGTCGGAATGAGACTCACGTAGACGAAAAATTGATTCACAAAATGGTTTTTAAATTATGCGTTGACCTAAAATCTTTAAATAAGTAAAAAATTTATTAAAGAAAGGTTTATTCCTTTACTCCATTCCCCTTCAACTTTGTACATTTTATTATTATTTAGTATTTATTATAAACAATGAATTTTGATTGTTAAATGCGGGTTCTCGAGGTAATCAGTTTAATTTGCAAAATACAGGGTGTTTACAAATTCACGCGAAATATTTGGTTTCTTCAACAAAGGCACTTTATTGATTTTCCCTAATATCTACTACTATGGAAGAATAACGCATTCAGCTTGGCTTTTCTTAACTAATAACTCGTCACGAATGAAGAAGATTACTAAGGTTACGAGAAAAAATGTGGTACCCTCGCAGAGAATAGATTGATATGATATAAAAGGTTTTCTGCAGCTAGTACTGTCTCTCTTTCATTAACCAAGTCTTTCATCTATGTCGATCTTCCCAGTGTGTGTCTTCCAGTCCTCTTTTGTTCATGACCTCGTTCACCTTTGTTCTTCTTATTTCTTCGTTGCTTATTATATCTTGATCATCCATATTTCTGAGGTTGATGGTGATGTTAATATATTATTATATTATGTAGCACGTATTTAATGCACGATCTTGTTTGTCCGGGTCTGATCTGTAATTCTTCTTGTGTTGATGCATTCTTTGATATTATGAATCGAAGATACTTAAATTTCTCGGTTCATCTGAGTTCTATGTTTTCTTCTATTTCTAGGTTCTAATTTCTTCTGTTATTCTGTTTTTTTTTAAGTTTTTCTCCAGGCTCACTCTTCCGGATTCTTTGTCAAGATTGCTGGTAAACCTATTTTTGTCACTCTTGGGGGCTGTGTCGTATGCCTTCTTGAGATCAATAAATGTCAAATGCATCTGTTCTCTGCCCATGTTCCCTTCTATATTTTTTCTAGCTTGTTTCTTAGTACCCCCGCCATATAGTCTTCCCATTGTCCCAATATTCCTTTATAATTCTCGAAATCCTTTCTATATATAGAAAGGATAGATTTATATATTGACCTTAAATCTCTCCATAAAAATGTAAACTCTTTCAGCGCCGGCTTGATTAAAAAGAATGTTTGTTGCCGTCACGCGGGTTTAATTAATTTTATAGCAGTTTAATTGCAATTATGATTAATGTGGCGTCACATACAATATGAGTCACGCGTTGATGTATTAAAAGAATGTTATTTCCTTTAAATTGAACGTTATTCCGTCGCACTCTAAAAATAAAACTAAATATTACTTATTAGAAAATTTATTAACCTTAAAACTTTGGTATAATCTGATCAATTTGCTCTTCTTTGGCACTGTAGTTACAATATGGACGCTCAAATTTCCGTTATAGCAAAAGTAAATTTCGTATACATTAATCTTACACTAATAGTAAAATGTACAATAAAATTTCTATTGATGATAAAATATCTCCGCTTGCATCGTTAAGGGTGACATGGACTGGGGCGAAGTCTCCAGCATTATCTGGTGGTAATCGTAATTATGGCAAGTGTACTCCTCACATGCGGTAAGTTTCTGCGGAAAAAAATGATAATTGCTTCATTTGAGATAGATGAGTCTTTTAAAATCTTTCAAAAATTTTTAATTGAGATGAAAAGTTATTGTTCTTTTGCTTTTCAAACTAGCTGCCACATGGTATCATCATTACTATCATCCCAGATAGCACACAATATCCCCAGTATATCCGATATTCTTAGGATATACGTTAGCTTATATACATGCCAGGGATATTGAAAGGAATGGAACATGGGAACATTAAAATAGAAATAAGGTAAAAGAAAAACCGTAAAACAAAATGAAACCTAAAAAGTTAAATTTTGAATAACTGAGAAGAGACCTCGTTTTTTTTAGATTTGTGGTGTTTTGGGATACATTTTATTGGCAACGTTATTGGCAAGTCCTAAAAAAAAACGGAATCAAACCTTTAAAGTCAACTTGTTTTTTATTATTTTTGGACACGAACGAGACAAGAAAGGCGTTTTTATTAAGAATACCACAGAAAGTACGGATTCATCTAAGTAAAAAAATTACAAAGACGTAAAAATAATATATTTGTTTATAAGATACCATTTGACAACACTGTGCGGCTGCAACCAACGACGCAACTACTCGCGGTCGTGCCGTGCCAGACTCGCTCGAGTCTCGTCGGCTTCTCCACCGTCTCGTCGTCCTCCACTTTTTCAGCGTTGTTTTTGTTGGCGGTATACGATATAAGGCGGCTTGGCGCCTATTTTGAGTATTTGGTGTGCTGTGCTTACCGCTTTCGGTGCTTTCATTTCAGTTATTTTTTTGTGGTATTATTATTATTACTGAAGAACTAATAATTAATGTAAGTAAAGCTTTATGGTAATATATAGATATTATGCTTTTGAAAAATAAATAGGACGTAAATGTAATATAAATAAAGTATAATAAATATAATGTAATAAAATATATATTAACGCGATTGTTTAGTTAATAATTTTTTTAAGGAGTGATTGCTGGGTCGAGTTAAGATAAAACTGACTTTTTTGTAACCTACATTTTAGATTATATATCTTTTTTGCTTCTAGACTTCTTTTCGTAAAAAAAAGAACTAAAAGTTCAGATTTTCACGAAATTATATATAAAAATTTCGTGAAAATCTGAACTTTTAGTTCTTATTTATTTTGATAAATGGATTTTCATCAAGTGAAACCCACCTCAGTTCAACTATTCTATTCTATCTTATAGCTTTGTTTTTGAAAACAAAAATAAGATCCACTTTCTCTTCATGTTTTTTGAGCAGTTAAATTTAGGCATACAAAACTAAACTAATTTTTTATTAAAGTAAACAATGTTAGAGAAAATCCCTCAGAACAAAATTATATTTTTAATTATGTAGTACAGTTTGTATATTTTTTTCTTAAAATGGATGCAAGAATCAGCCACGAAAAACAAAGTATTAGTTTTAGGAACCACTCTGCATAAAGTACAATTTTCACATTAAAATGGTTGTTTTCCTATAGCAAAAAAAACGAGGATTTTTTTTTAGGTTGACAAAAAATATTGCATGAAAATAGGCTTTTACTGTCAAATTGAAAAGTCATATGTGTTCTATTTTTTTTTTTGCGCCCGATAGTACCTCACTCTCATGAAAGAGATCTTACCGATGATAAATGTGTAATGCTTTTTGTATTTAATGAAATGAAATACATAAATGTATATGTAGTCTCGTTCTTTTTATTTTTATTTTTTATAAAGTACAGATATATAATACCTGTCTTTCTCAAAAATTAAATATTTTCAGATGCAGATAAGAAGATGCATCACGCTGAAAAGCTACTTTCACCAAAGACTGACAGAAAACCTGTCAAATATTAGTTATTCTTTTAGAGTTTGGTTCAAGATATTACTTTATATTCAAAATACTTGAGGTTAGCTTGTTCTATATTTGTGCTATATTATCTACACACAATTTTTTCATATCTACAATAGAAAAAAATGTGTATAAAATGTGTTTTATTAATGGTATCAATCGGCAGTCCTTCACTTTTACCACCAGAAGCAAAATTAAAGATTAAATATTAATTGGAAAAAACTTGTGCATTTCAAATATCGCCTGCTAATCCAGTTATGCCTTCACCAACCATACCCAATGGGTTAATTCCATCACACGCGAGTACCAAATACTGGAAAAGAATTTTTGTAGTCGTAAAACCAATTGGATTACCTTTCCAGCATTTCGCAGTTACTGTTGGAAATGACCTAATAATTAAGGAAGGTCCACTGGTATATCTATATAAGATCCTATATCATCACAGTCACATATACTCACGACGTCTCAACTAGTATAACTGGATATCCTTAGTATGTCCTAATAAACATCGTACGGACATACGTATCTGATATACTGTGGTCATTCCAATTAGTAACATCGTATATCCTTGAGACATCTTAAGGATGTCCCTTAGCTGAAACAGTATATCCCTAGGATATACGTATGTCCCCTCAGATATCCCGAGGACGTTTTAAGGACGTACTTATGCTATTTGGGTTTACAAAACCGCCAGGAAGTTATCGATCTCAACGGGATAGACGACGTCATGCGCTGATTTTAATCAGAGTCGTTTTTTTGGGAGTTTCTTGGCCAAATACATAATTATTTAGTCTCCGATTAGTGGTAATTGACTATAAAACTCAACAATCGACGAGGGTATTAAAAAATATAACATAAAACTGTGCGTTAGTTTTGTGAGGTGTCACTTACGGGAAGTTTTTTGTGCGATATACAAAACGTGCACACCTGCCTTCGGTCAATGGCGCTGTCTTCATCGGAGGGATTGGATAACCTTAAGCAAGGTTGGTCTATGGGTCCCGCCAAAAGTTGGGTACCCAAATGGGATATGTAACTGGACGCTAATCGAAGGGTTTCGATTTTACTCAGCTTCCTGTCTTTGGGTTCGGTAGGTATCAGCGTTCTCAACGTGGAAAATGCGGTGTTTACGCTGAAACAGTAGTTACTTAATTTAAATCAAAAGTTTATCTTTGGAGACACGGGAAATATTTTAGCATTAATCCCTAGTTCAATAAAAAACTAATCAAAATGAACCGAAACTAACCAAAACAAATCTTAACTGTGAATGGTAGAATTCTTATCGATCAAAAACTCAGGCTAATTTCATCATAAGTCTAGTGCTCGAATCACGTTATCGGTTATGATTTCTTTTCGCCGTTTTTAAGTTTCTGTTAATTTCTCAAAAACGTTGAAATTTGCTCCCTCAAATATGTAGAACAATATTTCCTAGATAAACTCATACAGAGGCATTTTTTATACGTAGACCCTAAAAAGGCGGTAAATTAAATGTATATCACCTAGTGTGCGGGAAACGTCACTTTACCACAATAATGAAAACATAAGGTGAAGTAAATGGCTTTGTGTTTCCTATATATCCACCATGATTTTTCAAACATTTTCAAATATTATCTTTCATTTTAGGATGGATCGCAAAATTAAGTCTGGATGATTCACGGTATTAAGGGTGAATATTTCTTTTTCTTTGCGTCAACACTCGCATGTTTCGAGGTCTCCCAATGTAGTAGAAGTACTTAGTTTTTTAAAAATCCCCTTAGGAAAAAATTGAATTGTGAGACAGATAGAAAAAATGCTGTTTGAAAGACAATTTAATATGCTTTAATACGAGTTCAAATTGATTAAAATTTATTTCCGCATAGTAAAATTTACGAATCAAATTAACTTTTTTTATTACTAAAAACAAATAGGGTTATTGACAATTAGCAGCTCAACACTTATTTTTGCCCTCTTGCCCTAATAACATCTCTTACTCGATTAGGCAGAGATCTAATCCAGTTCGCTCTTGTTTCTTGTGGAATGTTAACTCTTCTGTTACTATCACTATAACTACCGTTTCTTTTGTTTTACCGTAGTTAGGCATATAAAAGATCAGCACTTTTGACAAATTTAAAATCATACTAAAGCATGTTTATTTTTTGGGTCAGATGCATAATGTATAGAAACAAAATATTTACATTGCGCCGTTTTCTATGCACGCAAGTTTAATTGAAGAACGGCTTATCCAAATATCCAATTGAAATCAGGAGAAAAAGAACTTGCTTTGTATTTCGTTCACAGCTTTTGTATTAAAATTTTTGGTGAGCCCTGTAGGTGGTCATGCGAAATATAAAAAATAACTCCGTACGTCGTTTTTTTTTAAACTCTTGTCTGCATCAATAATAATAAATGCCTTTGTCGCTCTTTTCTGCCTAAAGGTACATTGTTTGCCAACGAATCGCAAACCTTTGAGACGCAGGTGTGTGGCGGAACTGAATGGGCGTTCTGATCGCTAGCGTCAAGGCTAGCTGGAGGAAATCGAAAAATTTTCGCAGGATTTTAAAATACCTGTGCGTTCTGTCTCGCTCGCGCGCGTTTGCTTGGCTTCTCTGCTTGAGGGGTGCCGCAGGGTCGTGTCCGTAACCCACGCTTTTCCGTCTCTTGTGGGTTTCCGTTTTCGTGGCACCGTTGGATGAAGAATCGCTCGAGTGGTAATCGGAAAACTGTAAAAATTCCATCGCACTGCCCCCGCACTCTACACGTCACTGGTTCAACACTGCATCACCCCTATGCTTCGAACGCGCGTTGAACTATGGGCGGAATATTGGTTAATTGAACCGATCGAATTAAATTAATCCGAATTAATATTTCGGGTACGAAGAGAGCGACCGATCCTTTTAACAATCGAGAGCCTCGTCGACAAGTGTTTCAAAATACTGGCCAGCCGCGCTGGCATTGCGACGTTCCGAGCGCCTTGGATTTCCAGATGCGGCCGTCTAGAACATCGACAGGCCGGTACCAGACCCCTTGACGTCACTAAACGTACAGGGTGGGCACTGTACCTTTTCTCAGGAACTACTGACTTTAGAAAAAAAAGTTTATACAAAGTTTATACAGCGACAGTCTTCTGTCAACGTTCAAGAAAAGGCAACGACAAGTTCAAACAGAAGAGAAGCAGTTGGATATACTAGAATCCTATACTCGTCAACGCGCATTGGAGTCGGATTTTAAAAGAATTAGCGACAAAAACGACAAGGTAGACGATCTGCGAAAGTGTGGTGCGCAATATGCCGATCAAAGGTTATAGGCCCAATTTTCTCTAATGAAACCTTAAAATCTAGACGATATTTAACTATGCTCAGAAATTAAATACAACCACTAATAGTAAATGAAATACGGGCTTGTGAACGTGCTCAATTAATTTGCGTTCCATACCACCGGAGAAACTATATCAATGAATTTTTAAATGAAAATCACAATCTTTGGATAGGACAAAATGGAAACATTTGGTGGCCACCTCGAAGTCCAGATCTTACCCCACTGGACTTTTTTTTATGGGGGACAATTAAAAATATGGTATATAAAAAAAGATGCGTTGCTGTAAATGAATACAAAAGTGTATTACAGAAGCTGTAGTCCAACTAAATAACATCGATTTTGTTTCTAATGCGATACTATATATAGGTTGTTTATACAACTTACATTATTCAAAATGTTGAAAACCTATTGTAGATTTTCTATTTTGTTTTACTTTAGTTTTTACTTTAATACAGTTTGTTATTTGTTTTAAGTTTTTAAACTTCATAATTATAAATATTATTGTACATCGTTGACGATATAAAAAATAATGACCTTTAATTTCCTAAACCTATAATCTCTATATTACCTTACCCACCACCCATTGCAAAAATCCTTAAAATTAATAAAAAAATAAGAATGATATGCTTTTTTCAAATTATTTTTGTATAGGACATATATATACTACTGCAAGGTGTACTTAAAAAAAAATCCTTTAATTTAATGCATCCAGTATAATTATAAAATACTTGGTCATCACAAGTCTTTACGTGGAAGACCATATTTTCTAAGAACACAATTTTGCATTAAAAAATATATAATCTCAAATTCTGTTTAAACTACACAAAATTCGGATAAGTACTCTCTATAAAAGTTATGTTTATTTTTGGCAGTGATTCTGAAAATATTAAAATATACAGGGTGTTCCGTTTAAAATTTTAAAAGTAATGTCGGTCCAGCACTTATCGGGCACCCTGTAGATATATAATAATAAGTAATTTTAATATTTTATTTTAACCATAAAACTTTTGTATAAACTTTTTTTCCTGAAATCAGTAGTTTCTGAGAAAAGGTACTGGCCCCTAATAAGCGAGTTCAGTTTATCTCGGTGACATTTCGACTGGCAGTAACTTTCTCGTTTTTAAAGAAGTCAAAATAAGGGTTAGCTTTCCGTAATTACATATAAAACAAACATTGAGATGTCAAAGGTATAGTTCGTTAACGATATAACGTTTTTACGGCATAATCCGGTATTTTACTTTGGAAAATTTTTTTGAAGGTCGAATCGCGGGCCTACCTCTGGCTTGTGGTAAACGCGCTAAAAAGAATGCTCTATTCCGTTTTACAATAGGCGTAAAAACGGTATATCGTCGGGCGAACTTTATCTGAGATAATTGACCCTAGCATACAGTGTAAACATATTTTCTCTTTTGCAAAATGTTGAATGTCTACCCGAAATCGGTGGTAACAGTGCAATTTCGAATGGGACATATAGTTTTTTGTTGCAGCGACAGTTCCTTCCAAACAGACAAAGAAATTTGGAGAAACCACGAACTTGTTAAATATCAAATAAGTATGTATACGGAATAAATGTTTTTGAACGAATAAAATAAAATTTCTCTGAAGCACATCCGGTTTCTCCTTTTTCCACAGCTTACCAGGGTGTTTTCCACAGTTTAATAAACGCGGCTTTGACGAAACATAAATAAATTGCATTTAAATTTCGTAAAAGCTATAAGCTTAGGTGAGAATAGTGCCCATGGAGGATGCAGTTTTATTTGAAATTCTTTAAAAAAATAATTAAAAAAAATTCTAATTATGGAATATCAAAGGGCTAGAACCGGGAAAGATGGAACTATCGGTTAGCTAGCCAACAACTATTAATAAATTTATTTTTTTTGAATGAATGAATCCTTTAAGATACAACCCGGAATTAATTAAAATTTACAAAAAATGTTGTTCACATACATATAAAATAGTAAATTGGTAAATGCTTGTAAAAATGAAAATACTTTTATCTTGTAAGTTGTAACAAAATGCAAATCACCTATTTTTGTCCTATTTTTGCCAATATCTAGAAATGCAAATGGAATAAAAAATAACGTGTGCAATATTGACTACAGATAAAATATACAGGGTTGTTCAATATATCAAATAGGCTAATATTTCAGAAATGTGTCGGTGTTTTGTTTTACATGTATTTTAGAGAAAAATTCGAGTTCTACATTTTCATTCCTCTTATACTTGATATCTTTAAAAACAAGGTCAATCAAAATGTTATTGGTTGAGGGCAAAGGATTGAAGTCAATAGAATTTCATACACTCATAGGAGATACGAAAAAAAAGTTTCGTAGAAAAGTTTCGTGGACTCTCCTGAAGATTTAAAAAATTATAATTTTTTTCATACAGGGTGTTATTTTTAACGGAACATTCTGTATATTTCGACATTTTTTAAATCCTTGGTTAAAATAAAGGTCATTTTCTTAAGAAATTCCTATTCGAATTTTGCATAGTTTAGGCAGAAATTGAGATTATGTGTTTTTTTTTTTCATATGTTGCTTGCCCCACATAAAATTGTGTTCTACGACAAAAAATAAGTTTGTAATTTATCTTATATTTAAATTTTACTTACTTTTTGAGAGATTCGTGGTTTAAGATAACACCCGTATAAATTCTTGTTGAATTTAAAGCTGCCCACAATAGGTCACTTATTGGCAATATTAGGTAATTTTTAAATAGCAAAAACATGCTACTACTTATTTTAAACATATAATTTTCAGGAGAGTCCAAGAAACTTTTGTACGAAAAATTTGGTTTCTGCTCTTCAATAAGTAGACATATATATAATCAGCCAAAAAAACAATGCACATGAGGCTTTAATTTTTCTATGGATAAATTAAAAACAAATGCTATATTTATATCCGGTACTTGGATTTATTGTAAACAAATATGCAATATCTTGAACTGACGGTTTATTGACGAACAAACTTAATATTAGCTAATTATTGCATGAAATTTTATCAAAACGTTTGCAAACATCTAAATTATCATAATAAAAATATTAAACGTCTGAGCCTATGAATGAATGAAAACCTGAGAAAGTAAGGTGGCTTTTAAGTTTTATCAAAAAGTATTTATTTATTCCATCAAAATTATTGTTGTCCGCTTCAAAGTAATCCTCCCCAAATATAATACACTTGTGCCAACGTTATTTCTGGTAAAGCCTTGAGTTTTTTCAGTGATTTTTTTTTATAACCTCATTCGCTCCAAACCTCCTTCCTTTAATGTTTTTCTTGAGTTTTGGGAACAGGAAAAAGTCGCAGGGGACCATATCCGGTGAATATGGTAGCTGAGCCATGGTTCTGGTTTTGTTTTTGACCAAAAAGTGAGACACAAGCAACAATGCGTGAGCAGGTGCATTATCGTGATGCAAAATCCTTGATTTGTTTTCTCACAATTCCGGACGTTTTCTTCGTATTGCTTCTCGCAAACGGGTTCTTCCATTGGGCGAACTGGGCTTTGGTTTCGACGTCATTACATAATTCTTCACCAGTTATGACCTTTTTGAGAATATCAGGATCATGCTCCTTCGACGGTCCTTTTGTTCAAAATTAAACGGACATACACCGAAGAGCCGAAAGGCAATGTTGTAATAGGTGGACGAATAAATCAACGTGCCATCGATAATGCATTGGGTAATTAAAAGGCAACAAAAGCCTTCGTTTACCTTGATGATGTACTAGATCCTTCAATAAGCATTGAGGAGGCAACGCAGAATCTGGAAGATGTAGTTTATGCGTTCGCTATCCACTAATGCGTTTGTTTTGAACTATGAAAATAACTTTGAGAAATCCGAGGTTGCTGGCCACTCAGCAGCTCCTATTAGACGCCTCACCGAGAGGTAACTTTGTTGATCCAGACAAAGCCGTTGCAGAGACTCTACGGCTTTGTGGCTGTGGAAGATTCTCAGCTAGCCGGCGGAGGAGAATTGAAACCGAAACACAAAGGACCATTTACCATACGTGCAGTACCACCTAATGACCGATTTGCGTTACAAAACAAGGACGACTGTAGCTGATCATGAACAACTGCGTGCATGGCCGTCTACGAATTCACAAAAAGTCGGTAACGTACGATTATTTACTTTTTCATTGCTTATTTAAGGTTAAAAAAAAGTGAGATTAATAATGGCAATCCCATTTTTAAGTAGAAGAATAATGGCAATCCCATTATTAAGTAGAAGAATAATGGCAATCCCATTATTAAGTAGAAGAATAATGGCAATCCCATTTTTACAAAAAAATGAGGTTAATAATGGCAATCCCATTATTAAGTAGAAGAATAATGGCAACCCCATTATTGAAAAAGAAGTGAGGTTAATAATGGCAATCCCAATATTAAGTAGAATAATTGTGGCAATCCCATTATCGAATAAAAAAAAATATTTAAATCATGTTACAATAGCAACCCTGTTGGCTATTTGTAATGAGTTAAACTTCAAATAGTAGCATTTACAAAAATTCTGTTGATGGTTTCCAAAATTTTAGAAATAGCGCGAGGACGCTTTCAGAGCAGGATGGCCGTGTTAGCGCTATCTTTTATATGGCGGCCAAGAGTCACGTATGCTGAGTCAGGACGGACGAGCGGCGTGTCGTTCCAGCTGCGCAGGAACGAACGGCAGTACGACGTACACCGAAGAGCCGAAAGGCAATGTTGTAATAGGTGGACGAATAGATTAATGCTTTGGTTTTTGAGGAGAGTTTTATTTAGGGTTGAAACCCTTACGTAACCCCCTACAGTTAACATCTATATATAATCTGGTAATTGAAAAGACACACGTAGTCGCTGGATATTATCAATATTGACAATTATTGCACTAGTTTCTCACAGTTTGTGGATTGTCCACCTTTGAGAAGTCATCATTCAGTGCAGTGGCTATTTAAGGGGCACTTTTTAAAAATAGAACAAGCTATAGGATATAAATATAGTATTAATTAATCAAAAGCTGTATATATATATATATATATATATAGTGTATTTAGATTTTTTTAATAGACCGCAAGTGATTTATGCTTGGATCACTATAGAATAAAAATTACTAAGAACAAAAAAAATTGTGCAACTGGAGCATGATTTTCATTGACGTTCTCGACGAGCTTTTGTGTCACACTGGTCGGATTAAATTTTCTAAACGGTCCGCGGGTGCTGATAGTCCTACCAGATGCTACTGTTGGAGAGTCGCTTAATTAGAAAATAACCGAAAAACACAACATTTGTTTTATCGGAAAAATTAGGCGCTTAATTATTTATTATTAATAATTAAGCAACATTTCTTTTCGCGTTAAATTGTTTGAATGCATTTTGTAAATTCCTTAATAATTTTTCACAAGGTTATGCGCTCTGTCATCTGCCATTAATATCAAACAACACTTAGTTATACAGGGTTAGTGTGTAGCATAATTAGAATCTAGACTATTGCTTTTAAACGCTCTTTTATGTACGTTAATGCGTTTCTTGAAGGATCTACCTGTTTGTCCAATATAAATTTTATTACAACATTCGCATTTCAACCCGATTTTTGAGATTTTGAACACTTCGTTTTATTGTTTTTTAAAAGTTTTCCTATTGCGTTGTTAGTTCTGAAAGCTATTTTTAAACCACCAGTGGCATATAAAGAAGTCTGTGTATAAAAGGTTGACCTTCACACACGAACACAGTCACACATAACAACTCAAATCACCCTTATACACACTGACTGCATTTCACTGTTTTATACATAGACTTCTTAATACGCCACCCTCAACAGAAAATTACAACAAAGAACTTAATATCATTAAACAAATTGCACTAAACAACGGATATAATCCGTCCATTATTGATAAAATTATAAATAAAAAACAAATCCAGACAACAGTAAACTCTATTTA